TTTTTTTTTTTTTTTTTTTTTTTTTTTTTTTTGTCTTTTGTCTTTTTTCCTGACCGGTACACGCTCAGCCAGTGAGCGGGGACCGGTCTCCACATGGGACCCGAACCCTTGGCGGGAGCGCCGCTGCACTCCCGAGCAGCGCACTCTTCAGTGCGCCTCCGGGCCGGCCCCATGGATGCTTTTCTACAGTAAAGTGAAACAAACTCAGGCCATAATTTACTTTGCACTGGATCACAAATATCTGAACTGAAACAAATAGAAGTAAAAAATCTCGCTAAATCATGATCGACCCCCACCCCTTTGAAAGGGAAGAAGCACAGATGTGGCTGCTGATATTTTACTTACCTCCATTTATGGTCACTTCGCCCAGACAGTTGTTTGGTACTTTTGGCGCACAACGTTTATGACAATTGAATCTGCAATCTAGTCACAATGATTTTAAAACAAAACAAACAAAAACCAAGAATTCATCAGAAAGAGAAATTGTGAAACAAAAAAATAATAATTTCAGATGGATAAGGATTAATTTAAAGATTGAAGTTCGGCTGGTGACAAAAGTTAGTGACAAGGTCATCCTTACCTTTACACTGCAATCCCTGCCTGAAAAGCCCCTTCAGTAGCTTCTTGCAGTACTGGCACACTGTGGGCCGGGTGTAGGAGTGGATAACAAATGTGTGTGGCACTTTAACCTTAGACATCAGAATCTTGTCCAGCTGAATTGGTCGTCCAATGTAAGATTGAGAATTTGACCTCTTCTCTCGACCAATGAATGACTCTGACGGTGACTTCTGCTACATGTTTAAAAAACAATAAAGGACAATAAGATATATGAAACTGTGTGGTTTATATACTTACGTATTTTTAAATCTCATTTTGTATTACTATCATATTTAGTGGTTAGATCCTTAAGAATATGAGATAAATTAAAACTATGTTTCTATTAATTATTAATCTAATTTACCCCCTTTCCTTATTTCTTATTTGAGTTACCTTATTTGCGTAATCTGAAAAGGAGAGAATTGGAGACAGAATATTTAAACTTGATTTCTAGGTCTTTCAAATAATTTTTACTTTAAAATTTAATTAATTTTCACACAGAGCAAAGTTGAGAGCAACCAAACCAAAAAAAAAAAATGGTTCTTAATCCCACCACACATATTCTAGAGTATTATATGCACATGGTTAGAAAATGCAAGCAGTTCAGAAGGACAGAAAATGAAAATTCCCCATTTGACCTACATAGTATATCATCTGAAAAATGCCTGCAGTTCCTTTGGATTCTTTCAAGGAAAACAATAAATATAACTTTAAATTATCCCTCAACCACATAAAAAAGTAAAGGGTTAAAATTATACTATCATTTTTATTATTGAACAACACAGCAGCTAATGGACTATAAAAGGCACACAAATTTGGTGTTTTGTTTATAATTATATCTCTGTGCACCCTTGCTTCTCACTTTGGAATTGTTTAATTGGCCCGGCATATTGATTTTTTAAAATTAAATGAATTAAAATTAACTATGTTTTCAATGTTTTTGGACAATTTTATGGCACCTCTTGATGTCATGGAAATGTACTTGGGAATCATCAGAATAAATGTATTTTGGAATCATCACAATAGATGATGAATGGAATTACATTTTAAAAGTTATTTTAATTATATATCCACTTATTAAGCTCCTACTCTACAGTAATAACTGTGTTAGGTGCCTTAAGAGATAGGCCTTGTTATCAACAGTTGAGGCATCTAAGCTCCCAAAGTTTAAACACATTCCTTTGGGTAAAATGCTGCTGTGGGCTCAAGGGAGCCAAAACATGAACCAACATTTGTTTGCCTCCAGAGCTCTTGTATTATCATTTTACCCAGATAATTTCTAATTTGAAACAATTACTGATGACAAGAAATAAATTATATTTACATACGAGTTCCATCCCTTTCGATCCCTATGTGCACCAAAAGGTAATATTATGCACTACCAAGTTGGGAAACGTTAATTTGCAGACGCACTAGCTGCAGTAAAAAGAAATTTGAGATGAGGTTTTACATAGGATTATTATGTCCACAGTTACATTCACAATTACAACTCCACAAAGAAAAATTACAACGCATAATTACTCTGGAAAGGCTCAACTCTTGAAGAGGAGACCAGAACGCTTGTAAAGATAAGGAACAGGTTTGCAAAGTAGAATCATGAATATATTGAAAAAATACCTTTAGCGGAATTGAAGAATAATCAAATCCACAGAGTTAGGTCCCCTGTTGCAGTGTCCTTTACTAACAGTAGCTAATGGACACGTTTTAAGCATAGACTAAAATGAAAGTGCTGTTTTTCCATAGTCGGAAAATTTCAACACTCAGAATAGAAGAGGACCTGATGTCACACTTTCTTAGCAGACATAAACTATTCTCAGATTTGGAAAATCCTGTGAAAAGCTGGCCAAATCACTCTTGTTATTTTCCTTAATTTAGATACCTAATTCTAAGCTGTTTTAACAGAACCCATTTTACATAGGACTGTTACTATTCCATGGGGCATATTAGAGCTTAGAAGAGCAAGAAAGGGCCGGCCCGGTGGCGCACTGCTACAGTGCGCCGCTTGGGAGTGCGGTGGCGCTCC